AGGAAATACTTCCTAACTTATTCTATGAAGTCAGCATTACCCTACTACCCAAACCGGGTGAAGACACTATAGGAATGAAATACTACAGACCAAAATATCTCATGAATACAGATGCAAAAATCCTCATCAAAATATTAGTGAATCAAATCCCACAATGTATAAAAAGAATTATACAACAGGACCAAATGGAATTTAATCTACCTATGCAAGTCTGGCTCAATATTTCAAAATCAAATAACATAATTCAACAAGCTAGAAAAAAAAATCATAGGATCATATCAATAGATGCAAAAAAGGCAAGTAACAAAATCCAGGAGCCATTCAAGGTAAAAACCTCAGTGAACTAGGAATAAAGGAAATACATCTTCAGTTTAATAAAGAACATCTACAAATAACCCATAGCTAACATTGTATTTCACGGTGAGACAATAGATGGCTTCCTACTAAGATCAAGAATAAGACAGTGATATCACCTCTCATCATTCCTATTCAACATCATATTAGAAGTCCTAGCTAATACAATAAGGCAAGAAAAGAAAAGAAAAGCTATACAAGAAGAAATTTTTTTAAAAGACAGCTGTATTTTTCACAGATGACATTATTGTCTATGAAGAAAATCTCAAAGAATCAAAAAAACTGCAAAAATAAGTGATTATAGCAAGGTTGCAGATTACAACGTTAATATACAAAAGTCAATTGTTTTCTTACATATTAGTAATGAGTAATTGGTATTTGAAATTAAAAACACAATACCATTTACATTAACAATGAAAAAAATGAAATACTCAGGTATAAACGACACAAAATATGTATAAGATCTACAAGAATAAAACTGCAAAACTCTGATGAAGACATCAAGGAATATCTAAATAAATGGAGAGATATTCCATGTACATGAATAGGAAGATTCAATATTGTCAAAATATCACCTCCTCCTAACTTGATAGATTTCAAAACAATCTCAATCAAAATTCCAGCATGTTACTTTGTAGATATTTACAAATTGATTTTAGAGTTTATATAAAGAGGCAAAAGACCCAGAACAGCCAACACGATATTGAAGGAAAAGAACGAAATTGGAAGATTGACACTACTAGACCTCAAGACTTACTATAAAGCTCCAATAATCAAGACAGTGTGGGACTTCCCTGGTGGCGCAGTGGTTAAGAATCCACCTGCCAATGAAGGCGACACGGGTTCGACCCCTGGCCCAGGAAGATGCCACATGCCACGGAGCAACTAAGCCAGTGCGCCACAACTACTCAGCCTGCACTCTAGAGCTTGAAGGCCACAACTACTGAGCCTGCGTGCTACAACTACTGAAGCCCGCATGCCTAGAGCCCGTGCTCTGCAACAAGAGAAGCCACTGCAATGAGAAGCCCGTGCACCTCAATGAAGAGTAGCCCCTGCTTGCTGCAACTAGAGAAAGCCCATGTGCAGCAAAGAAGATCCAATGCAGCCAAAAATAAATAAATGAAAAATAAATAAATAAATTAAAAAGTATGGTATTTGTGAAAGAACTGACCAATAGATCAATGTAGCAGAATGGTGAGCCCAGAAATAGACTTACACAAGTACAGTTAACTGATCTTTAACATGGAATAAGGGTAATTCAATGTAGATAGTCTTTTCAAAAAATGATGCTGAAACAGATGGATATCTACATGGAAAAAAAAATTTAAATAAATCTAGACACAGATCTTATACCTTCACAAATATTAACTCAAAATGGAGCATAGATCTAAATGTAAAACACAAAATAATCAAACAGCTAGAAGAAGAATAAGAGAAAATATTAGTGATCTTGGGTTTCGTGATATTTTTAGATATAACACCAAAAGCACAATTCCATGGAAAAAAACTGATAAGTTGAACTTGATTAAAATTAAAAACTTCTGCTCTATGACGCTGTTAAGAAAATCAAAAGACAAGCCAAAATTGAGAGAAAAGAATTGCAAAAGACATATGTGATAAATGACTGGTACCCAAAGTACCTAAAGAACTTTTGAAACTCAACAATAAGAAAATGAACAACCCAATTAAAAACATGGGCAAAAGACCTGAATAGATAACCTCATCAAAGAAAGTATATAAATGGAAAATAAGCATATAAAAAAATATTCAACACTGTATGTCATCAGGGAATTGAAATTAAAACAACAAGATACCATCACATATCTTTAACACACTAGAAACCAAAACACTGACAACACCAAATCCTGGCAATGATGTGGAACATCAGGAACTCTTATTCTTTGCTGGCAGGAAAACAAAACGGCACAGTCACTGTGGAAGACAGTGTGGCAGTTTCTTACAAGACTAAACATACTTTTACCAGGCAATCCAGCAATTGTGCTTTGTGGTATTTACCCAAATGAGTAAAAACTTTATGTCCACACAAAACCTCTACACAAATGTTTACAGTAGCTTTATTCATAGTTGCCAAAACTTTGAAGCAACCGAGATTTCCTTCAATGGGTGAATGGATAAACAAGCTATGTTATATCCATACAATGGAATATTACTCAGTGATAAAAAGAAATGAGCTATCAAGCCATGAAAAGACATGAAGGAAACTTAAATGTATATTATGAACTCAATGAAGCCAATCTGAAAAGGCTACAAAACTGTATGATTCCAACTATATGACATTCTGGAAAAGGCAAAACTCTGGAGACAGTAAAAAAATCAGTGGTTGCCAGGGGTTTAGCAGGTAGGAAGGGATAAATAAGCAGAGTGCAGATGATATTTAAGGTAGTGAAATTATTCTGTATGCTACTGTAATGGCGGGTATACAACATTATACGTTTTTAAAAACTTATAGAATATAAAACACAAAGAGTGAACACTAATGTAAACTGAGGAATTTAGTAAATAATAATGTAATAATATTGGCTCATCAATTGTAACAAACAATTGTACTACACTGATGCATGATGTAAATAACAGGGGAAACTGCTGGGGAGCTATAAAGTACATGAGAGTACATGGGAACTCTATGTACTTTCCATTCAATTTTTTTGTAAACCTAAAACTGATCTAAAAAATAAAGTCTATGAATTAATCAAACTAATAAGATTTCTAGGCCCTTAAACATTACTTTCATTATCTTACTCACTTGTTAAAATGTATCATATTTATACTGTCTGACTTTCAAGGATTTTGTAATCTTCCATTTTATCAGTTCAGCATTATTTTAATTATTTCTAAGAGATATCCTCCATTGTAAGAATTTAGAATAGATGCCTCATGTCCCCCATAAATGAATCATATTCATCCTGAATATATTGTTTCATTGTTGCTGTTTTTTCTTTGAAATTCATTCATCTCCCTTCTGCTGATCTAATGATCCTACACCTTAAGATTATTCTCTCCCATAAAAACATCCCCAAAGACACTAGCTTTTAGTAACCTTCTTCTCTCATTATAATTATAGTTTATACCACAGAATAAATGGCTACACTATATCTTCTACAGGGCTGCTGTGGTCCTCATAGGTAACAGTGCTCTCAACTAGATGGTAAGTTTATTATGATGTATATTGCAGAGTGGCAGAATCTGCCATGCCCTAATATGTCACTTTGGAAGAATTATCTTGAGCTAAGGGCACGTGAAAAACAGCAGGTACAAGAAGAGTGCTCTGACCTCCCCTTTTCCTCCTGAGAGCAGGAATAAAACTCTCATGTGAAAGTTGCTCTCCCTACACCAGGAAGAAAAAAACATTCTTATCACCAGAGACAAAAGCAGAGGCTGAGAGAAATCTGTACAAACAGACCTTGTTAAAAGAACTCATCTTCTTTACCTCCCCACATATTTTAGTTACACTTCCACAGCTGCCTCTCTTTGTTCAACCAAGTATAAAAACATTTAGGTTTCACCACTTCTTTGGGTCTTCACTTCCTTATGAAGGCTCCCATGTCACGTAAATCCTGCATTAAATAAATGCGTATCCTTTCATCCTGTTAATCTGCCTTATGTCAATTTAATTTTAAGGCCCAACCAAAGACACTACGAGGGCAGAGCTAAACTTTTATTTCCCCTACAATATCTCTTAAGTTTTACCCACAGCATTTTAGGAATTAACAGAAGCTTATTAATGGACTGAGTCCTAGGATATTATTTCAGCTTTTCTGGTAATCCAAGAATACTTGTGTAATAATGATTGTATCCTCAAGAACAAAGAGAAAATGACATGCTAAGATCAGGAAACCCCCTTGAAAACTCAAGACATTAAATGTTTAAAGGTTTCTAAAGTTACCTATCAGACTTACACCTTGGAATAGTAGCTAAACGTTGAAAATATAATACATATAATACTGAAAAAAAGATATCAGTAACTCCTATAAAAATATCACATGATCTGATGCATTGATGATATTAAAAAAAACCAAAAAACTAAAACACTAACAATTTGGGAAGGCAGAAAGGCCCCAATGGCATTAATGACATCACTAAAATTCATACAGTCATGCAATATGTAACATCTAGTGTTACATGCCATAGGTGACACATCTGGTTTCTTGATCATAAGTATCAGTACCCCCATGAGCTATCCGTATTCAAAGTCAAGGTAGGAACCTTTACACTGACATGGGGTAGATTTAATCTACTGCTTAGAATCCCTACTTGCTGCACAACAATTTCAATAGGTTGATAAGTGTGGGAGAATGATTGGTATTACTATTCCAAAGCATTTGCCATAAGCTGGGCTAAAGTAAACAGGGTGGAAAGGAAAAATTCTGAAACATGAGAGAATATTATCAAAATATTAGACATAGTTATAGACTACTGGGAATTTAAGTATTTAGAAATGGCATAGTCAGGAGTATCGTTCCCAAGCCTGAGAAGCTCCGATTACACATCAGTCTTTTCAATTATATAAAGATGGCAACTGTCAATGTACTGCTATAAACATGACTAATAATAGCAAATTTTCACACAAGGCATTATTAATATCAACTTTAATTTAGGTTGGCTTAAATTTTTAATGAGAAACTTACCTTACAGAACTTGACTTCTGCCTCTAAATGATGAATGTATTGAGACTGGTCACTGATGATGGGAACAAAATTGTGTAGAGCAGGCATATCGGTTTCCTCATTTTCTGATGATTTCTAAGGCAAAAATCAAAACAAATGAAGCATGTTTGGATTTAGCAAATAATCAGTTAATACCATCTCCATACTCAATTTAGCACTGATGTCATATAAACATAGTATAAACATAGACTAGGGAGATTGCTTCAAGATGGCAGAGTAGAAGGACGTGTGCTTACTCCCTCTTGCAAGAGCACAGGAATCACAACTAACTGCTGAAAAATCATCAACAGGAAGACACTGGAACTCACCAAAAAAGATACTCCACATCCAAAGACAAAGGAGAAGCTGCAGTGAGACAGTAGGAGGGGCACAATCACAGTAATACCAAATCCCATGACTGTGGGGTGGGTGACTCACAAACGGGAGAACAATTATATCACAGAAGTCCATCAACTGGAGTGAAGGTTCTGAGCCCCACATCAGGCTTCCCAACCTGGGGTTCCAGCAATGGGAGGAGGAATTCCCAGAGATCCAGACTTTCTAGGCTAGTGGGATTTGACTGCAGGACTTCAACAGGACTGGGGGAAACAGAGAATACACTCTTGGAGGGCACACACAAAGTAGTGTGTGCATTGGGACCCAGGGGGAAGGAGCAGTGACCCCACAGGAGACAGGACCAGACCTACCTCCTAGTGTTGGAGGGTCTCCTGCAGAGGCGGGGGTTGGCTGTGGCTCACTGAAGGGACAAGGACACTGGCAGCAGAAGTTCTGGGAAGTACTCCTTGGCATGAGCCCTCCCGGAGTCTGCCATTAGCCCCACCAAAGAGCCTGTAGCCCCCACTGCTGGGTCGCCTCAGGCCAAATAACCAACAGGGAGGGAACTCAGCCCCACCCATCAGCAGACAAGCGGATTAAAGTTTTACTGAGCTTTGCCCTCCAGAGCAACACCCAGTTCCACCCACCACCAGTCCCTCCCATCAGGAAGCCTGCACAAGCCTCTTAGATAGACTCATCCACCAGAGGGCAGACAGCAGAAGCAAGAAGAACTACAATCCTGCAGCCTGTGGAATGAAAACCACATTCACAGATAGACAAAATGAAAAGGCAGAGGACTATGTACCAGATGAAGGAACAAGATAAAACCTCAGAAAAACAACTAAATGAAGTGGAAATAGGCAACCTTCCAGAAAAAGAATTCAGAATAATCATAGTGAAGGTGATCCAGGACCTCGGAAAAAGAATGGAGGCAAAGATCGAGAAGATGGAAGAAATGTTTAATAAAGACCTAGAAGAATTAAAGAACAAACAAACAGAGATGAACAATACAATAACTGAAATGAATAACACACTAGAAGGAATCAATAGAAGGATAACTGAGACAGAAGAACAGATAAGTGACCTGGAAGACAATGATGGAATTCACTGCCGTTGAACAGAAAAAACAAAAAAGAATAAAAAGAAATGAAGACAGCCTAAGAGACCCCTGGGACAACATTAAATGCACCAACATTCGCATTATAGGGGTTCCAGAGGAGAAGAGAGAGAGAAAGGACCCAAGAAAATATATGAAGAGATTATAGTGGAAAACATCCCTAACATGGAAAAGGAAACACCCAGGCCCTGCAAGCGCAGAGAGTCCCAGGCAGGATAAACCAAAGGAGAAACACACTGAGACACACAGTAATCAAACTGACAAAAATTAAAGACAAAGAAAAATTATTAAAAGCAAAAAGGGAAAAACAACAAATAACATACAAGGGGAGCTTCCCTGGTGGCACAGTGGTTAAGAATCTGCCTGCCAATTCAGGGGACATGGGTTCAAGCCCTGGTCTGGGCAGATGCAACATGCTGTGGAGCAGCTAAGCCCATGTGCCACAACTACTGAGCCTGCACTCTAGAGCCCTCAAGCCACAACTACTGAGCCCTCATGCTACAACTACTGAAGCCCACATGCCTAGAGCCTGTGCTCTGCAAGAAGAGAAGCCACCACAAGGAGAAGCCCACACACAATGAAGAGTAGCCCCCGCAGACTGCAACTAGAGAAAGCCCGCATGCAGCAATGAAGACCCAATGAAGCCAAAAAAAAAAAACAAAAGAAAAAAAAACATACAAGGGAACTCCCATAAGGTTAACAGCTGATTTCTCAACAGAAACTCTACAAGACGGAAAGGAGTGGCAAGATATACATAAAGTGATTAAAGGGAAGAAACTACAACCAAGATTACTCTACGTGGCAAGAATCTCACTCAGATTCGACAGAGAAATCAAAAGCTTTACAGACAAGCAGAAGCTAAGAGAATTCAGCACCACCAGATCAGCTCCACAACAAATGCTAAAGGAACTTCTCTAAGAGGGAAACATAGGAGAAGAAAAGGACCTATTAAGAAAATGGTAATAGGAACATATATATCAATAATTACCTTAAATGTGAGTGGATTAAATGCTCCAACCAAAAGACACAGATTGGTTGAATGGATACAAAAACAAGACTCGTATATATGCTGTCTATAAGAGACGCACTTCAGACCTAGGGACACACAGAGACTGAAAGTGAGGGGATGGGAAAAGATATTCCATGCAAATGGAAATCAATAGAAAGCTGGAGTAGCAACACTTGTATCAGATCAAAAGACTTCAAAAGACTTTAAAATGAAGAATGTTACAAGAGACAAGAAAGGACACACTAATGATCAAGGGATCAATCCAAGAAGAAGATATAGCAATTATAAATATATATGCACCCAACACAGAAGCGCCTCAATACATAAGCAAATGCTAACAGCTATAAAAGAGGTAATTGACAGTAACACACTAATATTGGGGGACTTTAACATCACACATACACCAATGGACAAATAATCCAGACAAAAAATTAATAAGGAAACACAAGCTTTAAATGACACAATAGACCAGTTAGATGTAATTGATATTTATAGGACATTCCATCCAAAAACAACAGTATACACTTTCTTCTCAAGTGCATATGGAATATTGTCAAGGATAGATCATATCTTGGGTCACAAATCAAGCCTTGGTAAATTTAAGAAAACTGAAATCATATCAAGCATCTTTTCCTACCACAACACTATGAGATTAGAAATAAATTACAGGGAAAAAAACATAAAAAACACAAACATATGGAGGCTAAACCATATGTTACTAAATAACCAAAAGATCACTGAAGAAATCAAAAAGGAAGTTAAAAAACACCTACAGGTACATGACAATGAAAACACAATGATCCAAAACAGATGGGATGCAGCAGAAGCAGTTCTAAGAGGGAAGTTTATAGCAATACAATCCTACCCGAAGAAACAAGAAAAATCTCAAATAAACAATCTAAGCTTACACCTAAAGGAACTAGAGAAAGAAGAACAAACAAAACCCAAAGTTAGTAGAAGGAAAGAAATCATAAAGATCAGAGCACAAATAAATGAAATAGAAACAAAGAAAACAATAGCAAAGATCAATAAAACTAATAGCTGGTTTTTTGAGAAGATTAACAAAATTGATAAACCTTTAGCCAGACTAATCAAGAAAAAGAGGGAGAAGACTCAAATCAATAAAATTAGAAACGAAAAAGGAGAAGTTACAACAGACACTGCAGAAATACAAAGCATCATCAGAGACTAGTACAAGCAAAAGTATGCTAATAAAATGGACAACCTGGAAGAAATGGACAAATTCTTAGAAAAGCACAAACTTCTGAGACTGAACTAGGAAGAAACAGAAAATATGAACACACCAATCACAAGTAATGAAATTGAAACTGTGATTAAAAATCTTCAAACAAACAAAAGTCCAGGACCAGATGGCTTCACAGGTAAATACTATCATACATTTAGAGAAGAGCTAACACACATCTTCCTCAAACTCCTCCAGAAAATTGCAGAGGGAGGAACACTCCCAAACTCATTCTACAAGGCCACCATCACTCTGATACCAAAACCAGACAAAGATACTACAAAAAAAGAAAATTACAGACCAATATCACTGATGAACATAGATGCAAAAATCCTCAACAAAATACTAGCAAACAGAATCCAACAGCACATTAAAAGGATCATACACAGTGATCAAGTGGGATTTATCCTATGGATGCAAGGATTCTTCAATATACTCAAATCAATGTGATACACCATATTAACAAACTGAAGAATAAAAACCATATGATCATCCCAATAGATGCAGACAAAGCTTAAGACTAAATTCAACACCCATTATGATAAAAACTCTCCAGAAAATGGGCATACAGGGAACCTCCCTCAACATAATAAAAGCCATATATGACAAACCCACAGCAAACATCATTCTTGATGGTGAAAAACTGAAAGCATGTCCTCTAAGATCAGGAACAAGACAAGGATGTCCACTCTTGCCACTATTATTCAAGATAGTTTTGGAACACCTAGCCATGGCAATCAGAGAAAAAAAAGAAATAAAAGGAATACAAATTGGAAAAGAAGAAGTAAAACTGTCAGTGTTTGCAGAGGACATGATATTGTACATAGATAATCCTAAAAATACCACCAGAAAACTACTAGAGCTAATCAGTGAATTTGGTAAAGTTGCAGGGTACAAAATTAATGCACAGATCTCTTGCATTTCTACACACTAACAATGAAAGATCAGAAAGAGAAATTAAGGAAACAATCACATTCACCATTGCAACAAAAAGAATACCTAGGAATAAACCTACCTGAGGAGACAAAAGACCTGTATGCAGAAAATTATAAGACACTGATGAAAGAAATTAAAGATGACACAAACAGATGGAGAGATATACCATGTTCTTGGATTGGAAGAATCAACATTGTGACAATGACTATACTACCCAAAGCAATCTACAGAGTCAATGCAATCCTTATCAAATTAGCAATGGCAATTTTTTACAGAACTAGAACAAAAAATCTTAAAGTTTGTATGGAGACACAAAAGACCCCAAATAGCCAAAGCAATCTTGAGGGGAAAAAAACATAGCTGGAAGAATCAGACTCCTTGACTTCAGACTACACTACAAAGCTACAGTAATCAAGACAATATGGTACTTGGCACAAAAACAGAAATATAGATCAATGGAGCAGGAGAGAAAGCCCAGAGAGAAACCCATGCACCTATGGTCACCTAATATCTGGCAAAGGAAGCAAGGATATATAATGGGGAACAGACAGCCTCTTCAATAAGTGGTGCTGGGAAAACTGGACAGCTACATGTAAAAGAATGAAATTAGAACGCTCCCTAACACGATACACAAAAATAAACTCAAAATAGATTAAAGACCTAAATGTAAGACCGGACCCTATAAAACTCTTAGAGGAAAACATAGGAAGAACACTCTTTGACATAAATCACAGGAAGATCTTTTTTGACCCACCTCCTAGAGTAATGGAAATAAAAACAAAAATAAACAAATGGGACCTAATGAAACTTAAAAGCTTTTGCGCAGCAAAGGAAACTATAAACAAGACGAAGAGACAACCCTCAGAATGGGAGAAAATGTTTGCAAACGAATCAACGGACAAAGGATTAATCACCAAAATATATAAACAGCTCATGCAGTTCAATATTACAAAAACAAACAACCCAATCAAAATATGGTCAGAAGACCTAATTAGACATTTCTTCAAAGAAGATATACAGAATTCCAAGAGGCACATGAAAAGCTGCTCAACATCACTAATTATTAGAGAAATGCAAATCAAAACTACAATGAGGTATCACGTCACACTGGTTAGAATGGGCATCATCAGAAAATCTATAAACAACAAATGCTGGAGAGGGTGTGGAGAAAAGGGAACCCTCTTGCACTGTTGATGGGGATGTAAATTAATACAGCCACTATGGAGAACAGTAAGGAGGTTCCTTAAAAAACTAAAAATAGAATTACCATATGACCCAGCAATCCTACTACTGGGTCTATACCCAGAGAAAAGACACACACATTCAAAAAGACACACACACCCCAATGTTCATTGTAGCACTATTTACAATAGCCAGGTCATGGAAGCAACCTAAATGCTCATCAACAGATGAATGGATAAAGAAGATGTGGTACATATATACAATGGAATATTAGCCTTATAATGGAATGAAATTGGGTCATTTGTAGAGATGTGGATGGACCTAGAGTCTGTCATACAGAGTGAAGTAAGTCAGAAAGAGAAAAATAAATATCGTTTATTAACACATATATGTGGAATCTAGAAAAATGGTACAGATGAACTGGTTTGCAAGGCAGAAACAGAGACACAGATGTAGAGAACAAACTTATGGACACCAATGGGGGGAACAAACTTATGGACACCAATGGGGGGAAAGGGGGGGAATGAATTTGGAAATTGGGACAGTCATATATACACTAATATGTATAAAATAGATAACTAATAAGAATCTGCTGTATAAAAAATAATTAAAAAAACATAGACTAGATCACAATGTGGCTAATAGTATTTATTTCTTCACCTATAAATTCCACAAATAGATAAGAATCAGGGATATGAATATCATTTTTTAAAGATGGACAGTGAAAGTGGTTGTAAAAAGCACATGGCAAATGGAAAAATGCTGTAGTAGTATAATTGGCTGGGATGAACTGCCTATTTGAGCCATCTGAAAATGTGATATCCTATTCAGTAATTCTGAGATAAAGGGACAGCTCTTCAAGAAACCACCATAGGGCTTCCCTGGTGGCACAGTGGTTGAGAATCTGCCTGCTAATGCAGGGGACATGGGTTCGAGCCCTGGTCTGGGAGGATCCCACATGCCACGGAGCAACTAGGCCCATGAGCCACAACTACTGAGCCTGCGCTTCTGGAGCCTGTGCTCCGCAACAAGAGAGGCCACGATAGTGAGAGGCCCGCGCGCCGTGATGAAGAGTGGCCCCCGCTTGCCACAACAAGAGATAGCCCTTGCACAGAAACGAAGACCCAACACAGCAAAAATAAATAAATTAATTAATAAAACTCTTACCCCCAACATCTTCTTAAAAAAAAAGAAACCACCATAGAAGAGGACTGCTAGCTAAAATTGCAGAACAAGCTGCCTGAAGGAGGGATTCTTTAGACAAATGTGCCAAATGTGTGTCAGTAAGGTAAAATTCTATCTACTAAGGAGTATGTTAGCAAAACCTGATTTTTTATTTTTGACCCTAGTACTCAAGGCAATTTGAGACTCTGCTGTTCTGGAGCCTCCAAGACTAGAGTGCCAAAGCAGATACATACAAAAACTGGGATACGCTGCACTGAGGACTCAATGAAGAGATGTCATAAAAAGTGTTAATTCTCTTTACTTCTGCAGCAGTCCTGGAATTGATTTTTTAATGTACATCTTACCTTATTCTAAAATGATTGTAAAATGGTTTATAAATCATACATTATACGATGATATTATTTAAAGAAAAGAGGAAGAGAAGAAAGGGAAAATGAGGTTCAACCAGTTAGATGAACTCAGAGGAAAGCTTGAGATGAGACACACAATCATTTTGTTTTTCAATCCAGCAGAAATTCCTATAAATGATGAAGTACCAGCTCCCATGGCAGAATAATTCAGTAGAGCTTTGCTTCTGGGAATATTTAATAAATTTAAAAACCAAAGAGACTTTAATTAAATGAATTATCTGTGTTAAGTAGAAAGTAACTAATTATAATAATTAATATTAATAGAAAGGGGTTTGGTACATAGGCAAATATGAATTATTATTATGTGTATATAGGGGATAGTCAATGTGAAAATTAAAAACAAGCTTATGGCATGTGGAAAATCTCCATATGAAATAACTTGTATATACTGTGAAGGGTTTATTATAATCTGGATGTCCACATTTTAAAATAACAAGTAATAATGTTTAGACATTTTCTATCTCAACACTGCCTCAGTTTCACTATCAATACAGCCACATATTTCTCATATGTCATATTGGCTATGGAACTGCACTCTAAAGGGTAACATCTTCAAAAGCTACTTATTATGGTTATGGCTTATAATCATCACATGTAGGTCATACACATTTAGAGTCTAAGTTCCATTCTTTCACATAGCCCCAATATAAATAGACCTGCATATTGGTATATACAACTGATGATTTTGATGAGAGTCTTCTTGCCTATTTGAAGTCAATAAGTTTTGTAATATCACTGCTCAGTTTTATCTTTAAAATGCTAATAAGCATGTCTGAGCATTCAACAGATATAGCAACTTAATCTACTAGACTTAAAAGTACTCCACACATGTGTGCTTAAGAGCATTCTAGAAACTAGGTGTCAACAGTAATAAATTCACTGAATGATGAAGTATCTTTTTTAAATTATAATTTATACCTATAAATATTGAATAGGAGTATGCAGTACATTTCTCTAAAGTGGGAATTAAACATGAAAGTATGTGTCAGGCTGGAATGAAGTGTTAATATAAGGGTACTCTTATGACATTTCAGCTGTGAGTAAAGGAAAGTGACGTGTCTCCAAGTTTCCAGCATGTAGCCTTGGTATCCAACTGTCACAGACATTGAAAATGCAAGGTGGTTATTGTTGCTGTGACATTTTATATTCGTGTCATACTTCATAGGTTTCTAAAGAATTTTAAATATATGATCTTATCTTATTATTACAAAAACCCTGTGAGAGAGTACATAATAGACCCTAGATAGACATAAAGCCTAGATTATTATTTTGACCACTTAAACCTGGCCAAATCCTTCCCTCACATATACCCTTTCCCTCACAGTACCCTTCCCTCACATCCACCCTCCCTCACAGTACCCTTCCCTCACACCCACCCTGCCCTCATACCTATCTCAGGCTTTATATCACATTGCTTCAGTCAGAAATAATATACTCTGTCAAAGCAACAGCAATAGAAAACAGCTTCAGAAGAAGCAGAGTACAGCTTCTCGTATCACACAATTTTATAACCATATATTTTATAATTTAGAATAAGATTACATAAAAGAGTAAAACAAAGGACTGCTAGAATTAAACAGTAAATTCTAAAAATAATAAAATATAGATATGCCCCTCTAAAAAAGCAATGGTTGGGCTTCCCTGGTGGCGCAGTGCTTGAGAGTCCGCCTGCCGATGCAGGAGACGCGGGTTCGTGCCCCGTTTCGGGAAGATCCCACATGCCGCAGAGCGGCTGGGCCCGTGAGCCATGGCCACTGAGCCTGCGCGTCCGGAGCCTGTGCTCCGCAAATGGGAGAGGCCACGACAGTGAGAGGCCCGCATAACGCAAGAAAAAAAATAAAAATAAAAAAAATAAAAAAGCAATAAAAAAGCAATGGTTAATCTTTTCCATATATTGTTTCTTTTTTATATTTGCTAACAGTTGCAAAGTAAATTCTCCAAACTATTTCCTCACTCACATTTTTCAAGTAAAAAATAAATTAAAAAATCAGAATTCTCTCTGCCATGGAAGTCTCTTCTTCAGCCAAAATAATCAGAGAGAAAATAATTTCTTTTAACGTTTTACACTATTAGCAGGCCCTGCTCAGAATCTGTTTACAATATGTATTACTAAAATGACACAGTAAAATTAAAACATAGTTAGAAAAATAATGCTTTCGTCAGGTTGCAAAAGCTGATACTTACCAAAGGGGACAATTTTCGTCTTCTTGGAGATACCTCACTTTCCTTAGTTGCTTGTTGGCATAGCAAAGCTTTGAGTTGATTAACTATGGAGCAAAAGCGATGGGTTTATTCACCTTATTTTAGATCCATGGTTTATTATCACCCATCTATCCATCCATCGATCTAACAAATATTGTTTAAATATGTATTATGCACCACAAAATGTGCTACTGACTGGAGACACAAAGACAAACAAGAAAACCTCTACCACTTAAGAGCTAAGAATCTTGCTTGTGAGCAAGAGGGATATAACTAACAGATATAAAACAATATAATAAGCTCTAGGTAGACCTAGAGCTATGTATAGTGCTATGAAGAGGAAGCACATAATTGTTTTCACAGAGAAGACAATACCGTGAAGGATAAACAGGAGATTACCGAGCAGAAAAGGGTGAGAAAAAAATCCAGTTAGAATGCGTGGCTTATGCAAAGCATAGAAGCATGGTCATAGGTTGGTATGATTAGAACATGGCTTGAAAGATGGACAGTTGAAAGGAAAACAGAAAAATAAGGCTGGAGAGGCAGCTTGGATTCATCTTAAGGAAATACTGCTACGACATCCTATAGGCATTGAGAAGTCAAAGAAAAAAAATAAGCAAGGGAATTAGATTAGCTGATTTGTGTTTCTCGACTAAAATCCTCGCAGTAAAGGATAGACTGGAGTCATTACTGTATGGAGTTCAAAGAATTCACTGTGTGTCATTCAGGTCAGGACTGACGTTCACACTCACCAGCATGGCTGTGTTGCAGTTCATGCCAGGCATTCCCAGCATCCTCATTTCCTACACTCATACTAAAAGAAGGATCCATTACATCTTCTCCAATAGTGGCATCACCTTCTCTCAGGGCACATTTCAATTGGTGAATGCTTCTACTGGCACGTTCTGTAACAACATGATGAAAATCAGGGCCAGTGAAATCTAGGTGACCAAAGGTACACTGAGTCAAGAAGACAATTTCTAAAGGAAAAGCAATCATTTCTGATACTTCATGGGTAAAAAAGCATAGTTTTGTTTCTAGCTTGCTGAGGAACATGCCAGAGGAAGTGAGAGATTAAGTTCATGGGTTAGAAGTTAGACTTGATGATCTCTAAGGTCCCTGACACCTCAGTGATTGATATTCACTATATACAGCTCTACTGCTGAGGAGGACTGAATGGGAGAGCTTCTCCCTCCTCCACTCCTCCAAACAATAGCCTCACAGGGAAAGCACTATTCTAACCCCTCAATGCCTAAGACTCCCCTACCCCTTCTGGAGAGGGGTGGGTGGGCAAATCTGGCAAAAGGGACACCACCACACCAAGTTCCTGCCCAAGGAGGCCTCCTTGTCCCTGTGGGCCAGATGTCCCTCTAGCAGCAAGAGACATATGACTACCTGGCCTAGTTTTGATCAAGATTTGAACAGCTGATGTGCTTACAGCAGCAGCCTCTCTAGTATAGTCGTACTTACGTAATGCTGGCTGACTACATCTTACGTAGAAATTCTTGGTTAGTGTACCTGACTACCCCTAGAATTGAAGCTTAAACTCACTAGCACATACTTAACATAAATAGTCTAAAATGAAGTATTTTAAGGTATATTATTCTAGTAGTTCATCTCTACAAATAGCTCCCAAAGGACCCAGCCTCACATCCTTGCCCTCTCCCAGGTTGAAACTCAGTGGGCCTGTAACCTGCACTAACCAAGAGAATGCAGTGGAAGGCACACCACGCCAGACCAGTCACATCTTTAAAACATCTGGTCGCTTCTGCTTCTACCTTCTCGGAACTCTGGTTTTTGTAAACCCCAAGCCAAACAAAGTAGGAAGTCTGGCTACCTTGCTGGAGAGATTGTGAAGAGGCCATGTGGAAAGCCCCTGAGACCACCACAGGGAGAAGGAGAGAAGCCCAGCCCCACTAACAGCCTGGTGGAGTCTCCTGATGACTCCAGCGCCAGAGGCCATCTACCTACAATGGCATGAAAGAGACCCGAAAACTGCCCAGCTTGAGTCCAATTAACCCACAGATCTGTGAGAGATACTACAAATGCTTTTAGTTGTTGCTTTCTGCCATCAAGCTTTAGAGTGTCTTGTTAAGCAGCAATAGATAACTGAAATAATTATTCAGTGAAATATTTACCCAAAAACATCTTCAGCAAAGAATTGAAGTCTTACAGTAATAACAGAACTATACTAATATAGTAATATTATACTGTACTATATGTTAATACTATAATAATATACTAATGACACTGGTGATGACATTACTAATAATTCTACCCCATTTTACGGATATTTTACATGTATGACAACTGGAGAACCAGGCAATCAATTGGTAATTTCATTAATTAAAGTCCAGTTACTTCTTCAGGTTTAAACTTGTTATTTCTGCTAATCTCTTATGATTAAATTCTCCAGTTCCAATCTAGAAAACATTAACTATAACAAAAAAATATTCCTCGTACATTAGAGCTGAAACCCAGATTTCACTCATCATTTTCAAATTTTGACATCTGTATTTGAAAGTTATTTTTAATTCATAAATTTACCAAATATTTACATATATCTAACAGAAATTTATGTTAGAAAAAGATGAATTCCCATGCAAGTTCATGTATAGCTATTATCTATTTCAAATGGATTCTATCTAAATAATTCTTAAGATTTTCAGAGGAGATCTTTTTTTTGTGGTACGCAGGCCTCTCACTGCTGTGGCCTCTCCCGTTGTGGAGCACAGGCTCCGGACGCACAGGCTCAGCGGCCATGGCTCACAGGCCCAGCCGCTCCGCGGCATATGGGATCTTCCCGGACCAGGGCACGAACCTGTGTCCCCTGCATCGGCAGGTGGACTCTCAACCACTGCACCACCAGGGAAGCCCAGAGGAGATCTTTTTCTAAGTAAAAACTTTCCCTAATTCAGAGCAACACATAACAATGATGCCAATGAAGTGAACACATAACAATGATGCCAATGAAGTGAACACATAACAACGATGCCAATGAAGTTCTCTTCCTTCTGACCAAGGCCCTTCCTTGACAATTATATCTATTTCGTCTTGTGTACTCAGGAGAGAAAGTTCCTATTCCTTGCTACCTACGTGGCAACCCTAAAAAAGCTATGAAACAGCTATCTTTTCATTACCAATCATGGATGGAAATATATTTATAAACATATATTCTACAGGACCTTGAAACATAGATTATACTTCCTCCAAGCTCATTTAAGTTTGAAACCAGAAAAAAATAACCATAACTTAATAGAAAAAAATATTCTCTATCTTACAAAATCTCTAATATAGGTTCTTTGCTTACAGCAACTCATTTTCTACCTTGATTAAACTAAAGAAAACAGGTCTTTTAGGTCAGGGTTCAACAGTGAAATTCTACTACTAACTACACAAGAGACCCAGGGAATTTACCACTAAAATTTTCTCCATATCAATCCTGTTTCCATGCAGACCTTTCTCTGACTGGAATTTGGAATCGATAACCAACCAAGCCTGGTCTCCTTTTACTCCTCATGAGTTTAAAAAGTCCAGATAAGATGCATTCCTGGTTTTAGTAAAATGAGAAGCAGCAATAGTTTTTCAATAACTCAGTATTTTCTAAAGAGACTTGTTAAAAGGAAAATCAAAGTGTTACTTGATAAGCAATTTAGTTCACACAGCGTTAGACTTAATGCACTGAAATCTATGAATAAAGCACTTATCCTTACTGCATCCATTAAAAGGAAAGAGAGGGTTTGAATTACACTATAAGTGTGCTCTGTGGAGCCATCTAATGACTTCATCTATAAAACAAAGGATAATTATTTATTTATGCCTAATCTGACTAAAAGCTAATAAGGTATTAGGAAAAGGAAAGGAAATCTGAAAAAAATTGTGTAGTTGTAAATCCTTATAGGTAGACTCCTTTCATTAGCTTACAATGATGGCAGAGCTTTATGAGCGCATTTAATCCCTTTTTCCTAATATTGTTTAATCTTTTAGAATTTTTAACATTCAAAGACCATGTGTTAAATTGCACTATGAAAATAGTATTATGTGAAATAGTAATATATTGAACTCAACAACCATCCCAAAGAAAAGTGATTACACAAGGTTAGGGGTTTTTTGCAATGAGTGACTTTAGTTGTTAGTATCAGAGATGAAGACTAGGAATTTCTAAGAACTGTTTCCTAAAACTAAAACTAAGGAGGTAAGGATATTTTAAAGTCATTTCAATACTACATTTCAAAACATGCTATATGTTTTTCAAATATATACATACTAACATAATTATACACTGCAACAGACAAACAGAGTTAATCCTGAGGAATAACAACACTCAGATCTTTCAAGACAGATAAAACCCTACTTCTCTTCAACTGGAGCCACTGCAACTGAAGGCCCCATAATCCTTATTAAGAACACTGCTCCCCAGATGCAGTTATCTGCTGCTTATGTGTAAGGAAACCAGATTAGACAGGAGGTTCCAGTTATGGTTTCGTATCCCACTGTTAATGGGCACAGCTTTATCTGTCTATAAATGAGAGATGGAAAGAATACTCATTTCCTCTTCTCTCCTGAGAGGACAGTAAGAGATTTCACAATACATCCTGGTTTCTTCTCTCCAGCACCAACTATGGGCTGAATATAAACTTAATTACGTTCTGCTAATTTTGGGGGGGGTTTGTTTTTCTTTCTCTAATGGCTTTAGGTGTAAGGTTAGGTTGTTTATTTGAGATTTTTCTTGTTTCTTGAGGTAGGATTGTATTGCTATAAACTTCCCTCTTAGAACTGCTTTTGCTGCATCCCATAGGTTTTGGGTTGTTTTGGGTTTTGTTTTCATTGTCATTTGTTTCTAGGTATTTTTTATTTCCTCTTTGATTTCTTCTAGTAGCGTATTGTTTAGTCTCCATGTGTTTGTATTTTTTACAGTTTTTTTTTTCCTGTAATTGATATCTAGTCTCATAGCGTTGTGGTTGGAAAAGATACTTGATATGATTTCAATTTTCTTAAATTTACCAAGGCTTAATTTGTGACCCAAAATATGATCTATCCTGGAGAATGTTCCATGAGCACTTGAGAAGAAAGTACATTCTGTTGTTTTGGATGGAATGTCCTATAAAACTACCAGTGGCATTTTTCACAGAAGTAGAACAAAAAATTTCACAATTTGTACGGAAACATGAAAGACCCCGAAGAGCCAGAGCAATCTTGAGAAAGAAAAACAGAGCTGGAGAAATCAGGCTCCCTGACTTAAGACTATGCCTCAAAGCTATAGTAATCAAGACAGTATGGTACTGGCACAAAAACAGAAATATAGATCAATGGAACAGGATAGAAAGCCCAGAGATAAACCCACGCACATATAGTCACCTTATTTTTGATAAAGGAGGCAAGAATATACAATGGAGAAAAGACAACCTCTTCAATAAGTGGCACTGGGAAAACTGGACAGCTACATGTAAAAGAATGAAATTAGAACAGTCCGTAACACTGTATAAAAAAATAAACTCAAAATGGATAAAAGACCTAAATGCAAGGCCAGACACTATAAAACTCTTAGAGGAAAACATAGGCAGAACACTCTATGACATAAATCACAGCAAAATCCTTTTTGACCCACCTCCTAGAGAAATGGAAATAAAAACAAAAATAAACAAATGGGACCTAATGAAACCTAAAAGCTTTTGCACAGCAAAGGAAACCATAAACAAGACGAAAAGACAACTCTCAGAATAGGAGAAAATATTTGTAAATGAAGCAACTGACAAAGGATTAATCTCCAAAATATGCAAGCAGCTCATGCAGCTCAATATCAAAAATACAACTCAATCCAAAAATGGGCAGAAGACCTAAATAGACATTTCTCCAAAGAAGATATACAGATTGCCAACAAACACATGAAAGGATGCTCAACATC